GGGGTGGTGGTGATTCTCATGAACACGAAAAAAAAAAAAAAAAAAAAAAACGAAAAAGGAAAAGAAATAGTGATGATGTTCCAGTTTATAAACGGTATTACACGGCTCGACAAATATGCATTGCAACGAACTAACTTTAAACTAGTAACTTGCCTTCTTATTTATATCTCCTGCAACTTTTTCCCTTTGATTTGAACAACTTTTTTCGCGCCTGTTTGACTTGTGGGCATGGGGAAGGAAAACAAATGAAAAACGCCGGATTGTTGTTGTGAAATTGGTCAATTGCTACATTTATTATTAATTTTTGTTACATTTCGCAAAAAAAACCTTTTTTTTTTTTTTTTTTTTTTTTTTTTTTTTTTTTTTTCGGATATGTGTTATAATAATAATAACAGGGACGCGTCCGTCACTTTGGATGCCAGCCCAGCCGTTTTCTTTCACCGTGAGAGATATGATTCGCGTACTTGCACAACCTCGAAATAGAAACAGATCTTCAGCGCCTCTTCCGTGAATACCGGGTGTGAAGGGAAGAGTTTATGCGTGAATTGATGTCTAAAGACTTTGTCAAGTTCGTCTGGGAAGGGACCATCGCACATCCAAACCACGAGGATATTATTAAAGATAAGCTGGAGAAGAACAAGAAGTTGGCTGGAGCCGACGAGGTCAAGTTTGCGTATGCGACCTCATCAGTGCTTGCCAATCCCCCTGTTCCTATCGCTGTCTGTCGAATAGAGGCGCACCGCATCATACCTCTGACCAAGACCCGAAGATGCGAGCCTCGGGCCAGGTTTTCCGGGGAACAACATCCCGTCTAACTTCGCTCCATGTCTACGAAGACGGAATCGTCGTCTATTCGAAGGAGAGCGTTAATGACGCTCAGGAGGACCAGTCCAATTTTCAGTATGCGCGTTCCTAGTTATCCATGCTATTGTTCAGCGTGTGAAGAGCGTTGACGCGATTGGCTTAGTTGCAGTCGAGTAATAGCCTCTGTGCAAGTCGGCTTGATGAAATTGTGGGAGCTTTCATAACACGTTTCTTTGTAATTCCTGCTTTTTTTAAACATTGCCTTTTTTACGATCCTGAGAATTTCCGGTTCATATTCAATGTTGAGTGAGTGCCACCTCGGAATTGACATACAAATCATCCAACTAGGGATACGACTGCCATTCTATGCAACCTAGTAGGCGTGTCTTCAATCTTCTTCAAACTCCGCATAAAGCCAAGGATCTTGGAGCAATTCTTTAGCAGTGCTCCGCTCTTCTGGCTCCCATTTAAGCATCCGTTTGATGAACTTGATAAACATATTCTTGTCCTCACCATGCATATGAACGAGCATATTGTTGAAATTGAAACTTGGCGGGGCTTGACTCTTGCAGATTCCTATGGACATTATATCAGTGACAGGTGGCGAATCAATCATGTTTTTTACCCACCTCCAGGTCCATAAAAAAGATGCGTTCTCTTTCCCCTGTCTAAAAGATCTTTTGGAGGAGAACCAAGCAGTGCAGCGATGTGTGCGAGATGGCCAGCTTCATCATACTCATCAGTAGCCACAGAATATACGTTTTCGAAAAGCTTTCTATCTTCAATTATGTACCACAACTGTCCGTGATGGGCATATCAGCGACCAGCCCCGCCATGAACCACAAATTCTTTTTACTAACATACCATCACACCCAAACTCCATATGTCGGCACTATACGAATAGGCAGCATCTAAAATCACTATTGGTGGTCGATAGACCTCGGCCTGGATACAGCCGCTGTTCGGCTTGTCTCCACGGACAGACTGATCAAAATCCACAATACGAACAATGCCGGTGGTGCTTCGCGGAGGACCATAGTTGTTTCGAGCAAGGTATATCGTACGGCCGTCGGGACATACCTTTTGCGGTAATGGATTTTTTAAATTCGTCCGCAGCAGCTTCCTCTAGTAAGGATGGATCCTCTAGCTTGACCATGATATTTGTCCGGCTTCAAATCTGCTACTGGTTAGCGAAACGTATTCGTACCGATGTGAATCATTGAAAAAAACAAACAAACAAACAAGCAAACAAACCAGCATGGATGATACGACACTCAGAGTGGATATAATTCAGCCCGTGAAGAATCATCTGAAGAATCAACTTCAGAATACCCGATGGGATGATCCCACCAAATCTCTTCTGCTATATCCACAGAGGTTCTCGTAAGGGTTCAAGAACAAGGCTTAAATGGTCATTTCCAGAGTTGGGCTTGAGCGTGAACGAATCAAGAAGATGCCTGACAAACGGCCAGCCCTGATGGTGACGGTTGGTCTCAGAAAGGATTCGCAGTGTATCCAGCTCGGATCGTGCGGTACGTTTGTGTGATTGACGAATATTGGCATTGATTTGGACAGTAACGTATTTCCCTTTTAACCAGCGCCATCTAGAGGAATTGATTAGCAACCATATGATCTAGTTTCGATGGACCAAGAGTTCGATCCCGTGCCAACCAAACTGTCGAATTCGAACCGTGACCAAGCTTTGTCGCAAGTTGATACCTGCCATTGAGGACTTCACCAAGTCGGGCTGGATAAAATCTAGCGGGGCTATAATACCGAGTCTTTTCCTCTTCAACAAGCTCTTGAATATCGAGTTTAGGCGCAAGCGCCGCTGACTGTGGCCAAGATTGGTGTTTCAGGACTGATATTGGGAATGACAGTCTATTTCTGAGGTTTGCCTTATTGAATGTCGACTTATCCAGGATGGAACTTGGGGTGCATGGAATATTAGTCATCATCCTACTACTGTCGTTGACCAATCCAAATTATCGCCGAGATATCATATCATGGACCATATAAAAATGAAAGTAAAAAAGAAAATCAATTTGCGACCACGCTGCGAGATTAACGCACAATCTTTGGTGCCGAAAACCGACGCCTTAGCCATTAGGTTTGGTTTTATTGAATATCGTCTAAGTCCCCACTCAAATTGTGGGCTAAATTCCACGTTGACGCCATACATTTGAATCGGATTACGATGCTGGAATAAAATTAAATATATTATTTGTATCCTGGGAGATTTCTGCCGAGAATATACCAATGCACAAAAGAGAAAAGTTGAATGAAGAAATAAGAAAAAAAAGAGACCAGCAATGAATAAACGAATTAAAACTGCAAGAAGGGGGAATGATATCGCTATATGTTCGTCAGAGATCATCAATGCAAATGCCAAAGAAGAAAACGAAAGATAAAGAACAAAAGCGAGGACAGCATTGATAAATAACAACCATGGACAATAAATTCCATTCAAAAACCGAAAAGGAAAGAGTTCTTCAACAACCCGCTCATCCCTTTCCCCTTTATTTATTGTATGAGGCGAATCATCCCCATTTAATGGATAGATGGTACTTCCTGCTCGCCGGAATAATTTCGCCTCCGACTTCCCTTTACTCTAGGGGGTAGAGGGATTTTCGGGTTTCTGAGCTCGCGTGAAATGTACCCAGCAGTACATATGTATATCTCGACTTTTGATATCTTTGCGTACGCCTGTTAGAAGCACCTGGGTCTCCTCGACGGTCCATCCCAGAATTTTCGTAAAGAGAAAGAGTGAGTACGGTTCCAGCGCCTGCAATACCTGCAACTGCTGGAATCGCCCGACTTCTTTCAGCTTCTTGTCCTTGGGCCAGGTGCCGAGTGGGAGCTAAATATATTATATATATAAATATTTTTTGATATGGTTTCGCGTAATTTTCGTGGGAGAAGCAGGGGAAGAAGATATGGAGAAGGGAATGGGAGGGGCAGGCATGTAGGAGCCTCTCACCTTCTTAAGTTGGGTCGTAACATCCTGGAACCCGGCCTTCTTCAACTTCTCCGGAAGCAGCGGCACGATCTCCAACGGTTTCCCGAACTGGGAACTAGCCTCGAATTCTAGTCTCACCCAATCCACCGCGTGATTTGCCTTCGCAAGCGTACCGTCATCGCTATAGAAACACGGCTCGATGGACTGGATCTCAAAATACCCTCCCGGAACCAGGTTCTGATACGCCTGTTCGAAAAGTTTGTCGAAGTCGGCGATCGATCCGGCTAGTTCGCGCGCATGTATGAAGTCGAATGGTCGGGTGTATGGCCATGTCGCTTCGAGATCGTCGATTTCAAAGACACAGTTTGTGGGAACCCTACAGGTTGAAGCGAGTTGGCTGTTTTGTGCTAACAGATGAAAAAGAAAGAACCAATGAAGATAGAAAAATTTTTGGGCTGAGAGAGGGTGTTGCTAAAGCATAATTTATTTACCATGATGGTTGGATGGGGCTCAGATCATTTCCTATAAATTGAATGTTAAGATAATAATGGTCCATGGGAAATTATTGGAGAGCATTCTGGAAAAGAATAATGCTCACCTACTACCTGAGATTCAGGGTGTGCGCTGCATTTATCGTAATCGAGTTAGATATAATTCGCATACGAAGAAACTAGAATCGTAGTTTGTAGGCCTTACTCTGCAAAGTCAATGGCCCATATTCCTGTTTCGAGAGATGTCAGATAGTCGCGAGGAAAAACAAGATAGATATGGATACGAAACCAACGCCGTACCAGTTCCTGTTCCAATGTCAAGGACTCGCTGTGGGTTCGGTTTAATCGGGGAAATATATATCTCTCCACCTAAGAGCAGTTTGTAGATGTGGTGGGTCTATTTTTGAGGGGCGCGGCTGGATGAGCATTGATTATTCTTCAAAGGTACCATTCACCAATATATAAAGGGTGCAAACCGGATTATGCTTCCGGAATCCTTACCAAGTCCATGCGATCCTGTTCATCCTCATCATTTGGCTGACCGAGGGAGCGAGATTATGTTAGTCTTGGTTTTTCCAGCGCAAGCATCTGGTGAGGAGACTGTGCTCTCACCAGAATATATTGCCCTGCACGGAACGAATTGTAACGTCTTCCGTTCTAAAGTCCCAAAGGGTCGCAGCAGGCGATCGTATAATCAGCCATCGCAATCATAAATGTTAAATAGTTGGCTTATTGGGCATAGCAGAAACGGGTAGAATGAGCGCCGTATTTGCGTGGATGTTTCCCCGTACCGCATATCTAGTAGGCTGTTAGAACTCTTGAAATGCAGGGGGAAAAATATCCAAGAAGGAGCCGATAGAGGGGAGAAATTCCTTACACATAATTTTTTACACTGGAGGCGAGGGTCGTGGCATAACTGGCACTTCCCAGGCTGTGCGACATTATCAAAAACCACGAATCAGTAACAATACGTAAAAACATTTCCTATTAAGGAGCGAGCGATACTTCCCAAGTTCTATTCCCAAAGCAAAATGGGAAGCGCTGGGAAACTCACGAGCCCTCGAATGCAGAGTCGGTATCCTCATTGGCCTACAAATACACACAACCTCTAGTTAATCGCTGAACCTTGTGCTCTGGCAAAAACAAAGACTACATGGAATGACGGAACAGACATCTGCTTCAATATGCGGAATCGCAACGTTCGCGTCGGAGGTCATAGTGAAGATATTCAAAAAGGCGAAAGTGGGAAAGCTGCCTTGGTTTCCACAGACCGAATGAATTGCAGAAGCGAGGGATGGTATTGGGGTTTTCGTTGCAGGTATTAATAGCAGAACAAGCCCTCTCTGGGTCAGCTTTTGGCCTTCTGAGGGGTCCACGGGTTTGGAGCCGGGGCAAAAGGAAATTAAAGAAGCGCAGGGGATATTTTGAACAAGAGGGAAACCGGAGGGAAGAACTTTGACTTCGGGCAGATAGTTGCTTCTTTGTCGTCCTCGAGCTAAAGATCACCCACCACCAGCATCATTCCCTGATAACCACCAATCATGGCGCCTAAAGACTGTGGCGAACGACCACCGAAACTGGCTTGTCTCTCGCTTTGTCTATTCCATTCGTCTGGCTACTGGCGGGATTGGCCGCGTGGGCGACGAGGGTTGTTGACTCGGTTGTGAATCTTCAGCAAGCACGAAGAAACCGTCTTTAAACGGCGACTTGCACTAGTTTCTCCGCTTTGGACGCATTCTAGAATGATGGTTTCGCATCCCGGCTCCCCGTGCGCAGTGATTCGATGGGCGATGGTGCGCTTGAACCGAGATGAGCAAGTCAATTGGCATGCAGGGCCCCATGCGAACGATAGTCCCTGCCCATGCGCTGTGCACACGCTATCCGCTGTCCGCTATTATTCTTCAATCAGGGATTTGTAGCCCTTGCCTCGCCCAAGGGCCAGTTATGAGGACGTGCTGTTCCCCTACCTCGAATGCCGCCTCTATGAGCTACTCTGGGATCTGGGAGATCGAATTATTACATTGAAACGGAACAAAATAACTTCTGATCGGAGTGTTTTCGGCAGCTGAACTCATCGATCCATTTCATACCTTACCTCATCTGGAAGTGCGGCGGCACCTCCCCATTCGATGATATGAGCCAGCCAGCCTGGTCGTGCTGTGACTACTGCGTAGTTGACTAACCAAACCTAGGCCTTAGGTTTTTCTGCAATGATCAATCAGCTCTTCGGGAGCATACCGATGGGCAGACCAATCACAAGATTCGTTGGGAAATGCGTTTCTTGACTTGAGGAATGTCTTCATCCTGATTTTTCCATCAGCCGCTTGGTCCGGCAGTTAACGACGTTGATCCGCTCTTCATATCGAACATACAGAAGATTCTACTGGCTGGAATCGGATTGCGGGGTACTTCGTCGTGATTTATTCACCGTTCGATAAATTTTACCTCATGCTAAAGCAAATACCACCCCGTCCAACAGGAACAATCGGTGTGGGCTTTTCCAAAGTCCCTCCTGAAACTCCGATTTGCTCTGGGATTATCACGAAACTGCATTTACCATAACTATCCCACGTTAAATCCAGAGAGCGAAACGACACGTTCAGTTCGAACAGTGGTGCCGTAGCTCTGAAATGATCAATCGTAGGCATTCCCACAAACTCCCGCTCTGGGGGAATGCTCCCGCATATCCCCATGCAACGTTAAATTCTGTTAACATGGCATACCAATCGACGAACGGGATTTTGTCTTGATATCTTACAGTAGCTTGTAAAATTAGTTTCTATGCTCGAAACACTCTTTTGGTATCTTCTCATCACTCAGCGAGGACATCCCTATCCCTCTAGTTATCAAGAATGATGTGAAGGTCATTTTGGCTGCTTGTTTTCCAGAATGCTTCGTGTAGACAGTTCGAATCTGGTAGGTAATTCATGAATGCCTGTGTCAGGAACCTTATCCTTTCTGGGCTTTCTTCCACAGTCATTATATTATATTCCTGGGATGAACATTGTCATCATACATCTGCGCATCGTGGAATTCCATTCAGCCCATCAAAATAGAATTTTTGCATAGTACTTAGATGTGTCTAGGTATTCTAGTTAATCCTTCAAAATCTTAGCAAAACCAGTATCAGTTTCGCCAGGATCGGTGTAGAACTTTATTTGTTGTTCTGACTATATGAGGTAGTTATGCAAAGGTGATGGTGATGCTTTCCAAAATAAAGATAAGAAGATAATAAATAAAATAAAAATATCAATGAAAGGGAACACAAATTATTCCCCCCTCCCCCCGTCTCTATCCCTGACATAGAATGATTTAATCTTGCTCATCATCACCCGGCCTTTCCATTTCGTAGAAAAGCAAATACACCTCTCTCTGCATCCCCAACACATCGCTAGTTTTGCATTCTTTAACTTTATCATCGCTGATCCGCCACCAGCGGTCATTCGCCCTTTTCTTCCGCCGGATGCGGGACTGGAGTCCAGCACCCGGCACCACCGTTTTCGTTGTTGCCTTCGTGCTCGACTGGTGCCTTAGACTAGAGGAGGACGATATATCAGCATCTGATGATGGAGATAGGGTGAGTCGCGGCGTAGCAAATGATGAGACGGAGTCATTGTTCTTTTGTTGAGGTGGTTCTTGATGTAGGAGTGTAGTTGATTGTTGCGAGGCCGGAGAGAGGGGGAGGGACGTTCCTCCGTTTGTACTGGTAAGGGGGGCGGAAGGGGCAGAGAGGGAAGTACTGGACGCTAATGGAGATGTGGTGTCATCACATAGGGTAATAGGGCTAGCATCGAAATCCTGGCCAGCAGGAGTCTTTTGTTTGGGGATAATTTTGGGACTCGGGGCAGTGGATGGGTTTCTGCTTGTTGAGCGACTTTGCGAGTAAGAGCGGAAAGCGTCTGGGGTGGAGAAGGGGGCGTAGAGATGGTTGCGCCGAAAGGATTCGTAATGGCCGCTATGATGGCTGCCCTTGTGACAGACTATCCCCAGCAGCTTGTACCATTTCTGGTCGAGGATGCCGCCGATGGGCATTCGTTCGGGAAACGACACCTTGGCGGCATTCTTTGTAGAGTTGTTCTGGCCGTAGATCGAACGGGACAGGTGTATGGCGATTATTTTGGGGAAGGATGTGATTCGCATGTGTCGGGCAATCTTGCGTTTCGGGACGTTTTCAACATTTGGCATACTGATGCCCTTGGGAATGGTTTCTGGGTCAATCTCAAGCGCTTCTTTTATGAGTGATATGTCGCGGTTTAGCCGCTTGATTTCCCGGTCCGAGGTAGCCTTCTTCATTTCTGCTGTCTTCATCTGATGTGCGTGAAGAAGCACGCAGTTGTCACAACGGAAATCATCTATATATTCCGTTTTAAGCAGGCCGTCGAAGCACGAACTTAACGTAGCAGAGCTTTGCTGGGGCACTTGCAGTGTAAGGTTGACGAATGATGTCTGGTTTGGTTTGTACTTATAGTGACACGATTGACATTCTATTTGAGACTCCATCTTCCCTTCGAAAGGGAAAGGAAATTCAGCATCTAAAGTCTCCACTGTCGCATCGGCGGACGGCGATCCGTCGTCTAATTCCGAGTCACTGTTTCCAGCACTGTATCCATTTGCAGACTTCACATCCAACATCGAGTCATCAGCATTGCCATTGAGGGAGCGCTTGACTGCCCTTTCCCTTGCCTTAAGACCGGCGTGGTATTCGTCACAGAGCCGTTCTGCAATAATTTGCAAAAATTCCTGGGCATCCTGCTGATTCCGACTGATTCGCGTCTGAAACGCCGTCTCCAGAGCCACAATAAACCCACGCGCTGATATTGTCTTCCTGTATATCGGCCGCTCATTCAAGCTGTCGAGCATCTCCTTCAAGGCTCTGGTAACGGGTGCTTGCTGCAAGTCGCGAACCATCTCAGGCGTTTCTCCACGCGGAACGCTTTCGGCATCCGGTAAGACATTGTGTATTTCCGGCCCCTCCAGCTGGCGTCGATGTAGTTCTCGGATCAGGTATAAGCGGAGGTCGCCTAGGCCAGCCAGGGCTTGAAGGATAGAGTTGATAAAGCAGTCATTGGACGGGTTCAACAGGCCAACAATCCCTTTTCTCCTGCCGCTGTCATTCGATTCCTCGCCGTCGATCGTGAAATTGGGGCCGAAGACGTAGAAGAGGGTGATAGCGGCTAGGGAGGCGCCAGCAGCATAGGCTGCAACGGTTGCCGGTTTGTCGGGCATATGACAGTTCAGAACGTAGCGACTTACCGATCCATGCTCTGTAGCAAAGTCGGACTACTCGAAGAACGGCATAAACGACCTTTTGCTTTTGGGTCTTTCCGTGTTCGCGGAGAAGAATTAGGGAGCGTTAAGGTGTATATCTACCCTTACTGTCGGAGTATGGGTGGTTGCAAGCGGTGGAGCGCTGGTGGAGACTTCGGCGAAATCGAGGTCGTGGAGTGGTGGAGGGAAGACGCAATCCCCAAACGCCGACGAGGGTGGAAGCAGCCGACTCCTTTGTTACGCACATGGGATAGGTCTATAGTTAAGAAGAATAATGTCGTCCGAAAATATCAAGGTAAGAGATATTCAATCGCGGAAGCGCTTGAGGCCAGCAACGATGAACACAGTATTTGGGTGACAGTGACAGAAGAAATTCCTTACGTTTCTCTACAACTACGGAGTATTCCCTAACACAATAAACGCCTGTCAATTCGCACACTCAATCTGGATATGCACCATATACAGTATTTGCTCGAAAAAGGGAAATTCTGATTTCGTTTCATAAATCACACAATTTTTTTTGTTTCAACTAAAATAGGCAGCGTCTTTTATCAGCCGCTTACATTTGCCGAAAAAAGATTAGCCAGTCACAAAATTATGTTTAAGCAATGCAGAACAGTGCAACAGGTAATAGAAAAAGAGCCCTGTGAAATATTTTAACATTTTTAACATTTTGAACACCCGTTTAATTTTGTAATGTTTTGTTGTCCCATAATGACAGGGGCCTTCTTTTGTCCATTGGCCCCCTGGTCACTCAATTCCGAGGTGCGCCTTAGTATGTCCACAAGCCGAAATAAGATAGAGAGAAAATGAAAGAGATAGCGAATGGGGAAAAATAAAAAAAAAATAAAATAAAAGGCGCACGTGGAAAAGAACTGAGCCCAGAAATTATTTAAACAGAATGAGAAGAAAAAAGATTTTTTTTTTGTGAAAAATACAAAAACATAGACAAGAAAGAATCAGAGCTCAACCACTAAACATGGCCAACGACAAGTTGGGTTAGGGAGCACGAGAATCGAAGGAGTGCGCTGAAACCCGCAGAAGCTGAGAATATTAGCGATACTCCCCGTATGGAGTACATAACAGTCGTTTCTATGCCTGAACACGACTCCTAGTTCTGCTTCCAACTCCCTCAGTCGCGCGAGGCTTAGGGGTTTTCCTTTCCGGTTTCTCTCTTGTCCCGCTCTTCTTCGGTCTTCCTGGACCCCTCTTCTGATCGCCATTTTCCGCAGTGCTGGTTTGGGATCCACTTGCTGCCTTGGGCGGTGCGGCATCGGTTTTCTGTTTTTTTGTCGCAGGTTCATCTTTTCGCGTTTGGTTGGCATCCTCGGTTGCATTGGCGCGCTCGTGCTTATCTCCCGCGTTTTTTGCAGAGCTGTCGGCATCTTTCTCGGTGCTAGCTGACGTAGCAACTCCCGTTTCGGGTGCGCTGACCTCCGTAGGCGCGTCCCCGTCCACCGCGGTTGATTTACCAGCGTCCACGCCAGCAGTGTTGTTGGTATCCTCTTTCGGAGTTTCGCTTGGCGCGGGAGCTACGGGTCGATATGATTAGTTTTTTAAAGAAATAAATGAATTGTGTGCCAGAAGAAAGCTCCACAATGGTAATTGAGATAGCGCATCCATCAGGTTTGAATATATAGTTGGAAAGTAAACTAGCAGCAGAAGACGCTAGATTACAGTACTCCATAGATAGTACTGGGGCGTCACTCTAGGAACACAAACCAGTTTAATACATACCTCCATTGACTGCTTCAGTGGCCATGGTGGTAATTGTTGAGTGACTGGCAGTTGTGTAGAAGTTGAAGCGGCCGAGGGAACAAGCAAATGCGGAGCGGAACAGTGAGGAGGCAAATGTGCGATTGGGCCAGATATACGGTCCAAACGGCGTGTTTGGTGAATGTAGATGAAAAAGAAGCTTGAAAGGAATTGTAGACTGAGATAGAAAGTGATGGAGATGATGAGGGTGATGATGGCGACACAGCAGTGTTCAGGAGGTGAGAGGTTGGAGGCTGGATGTGGTTGCGACGTCTGGGGCTAAATGGGTCAGTCAGCTCAAGGTCCAGATCGCGTGGCGACGTGAAGCACCGCTGCAGGGTAGGTTCCTGGTTTGTGGTGTGGGAAGAGATAAACCAAGCCACTTGAGCGGGAGGCTAATAATAAGTGGTTAGACACTCGAGACAGCTCTTCTATTTTTAACACTGAACAGTGGTTGATGCTCCATGAAGAAGTCCATGTTTCAACCTTTCCTATATCGATCGATCTCTCAGACAATACCATGCCCAAAGTGTCCATCATGTGTTGAAGGATATACACGACTTGTCAAATGTTTTGCTCTTCCATTACCATTTATTCCGCAAGTTGGATTCTTAAAGCCGTCCCTTCCCCTCTCCCAAACACGAGCCTAGTTCAGGCTGTGCGCTGAATCTCACATCCACCCGTGCCGCAGCGGGATGTCTTTTGCTACCCTGCCGGTCGCGCTCGTCCTCGCGAGCTGTCTGAAGTCAGAATGAATGTGATATCAACCCGATTACAGTTACTGACACTCGTCTTTTCGCGGTTCTGAGTTAAACCTTAACCTGCTCAAATGTCATGTAACCTAGAATGGAAGCAAATCAGCTTTGATATAGGCCACTAGGACATGAAATAAGGCATCTGCTAACTTGGTACTCAGTAACACAATTGACCATAATTGCAAGGATGCCACATACGGAACAACTCTCCCTCCTTCGTAGCAATAAACGGCCGTACCAATATCGTTGAACCTCTGCTTGGAGCTCCAGGTGTTGACTTGGGCTGCACGAATAAAACCAGACGGACACCTCTTCTGACGGAACCTTGCAATTATTGGCTCCTTCTCCTAGGCTCCTTTGGGGACTGACGGAGAGCTATTGTAGGAAGGAGCATGGTCAAACTACCATGCAAAACCTAACCGATTGAGAGTTACTCCAACCACCAGCAACTGGGTTTTATACCACTCTACTACCACAGCATTCGCCACCCCTGCAACGGACGGGGAAGCCCACCTGTGGATCTGATGCTTGTGCGGAGGGATGCGCTAGAGGCCACTGATCGGTTTGGCGGTACCCCATCTCCGGTTAGCTGCAGAGTGCATGTATGAAATAGGAGTAGAACTCCTCCTTAATAAAATAAATCGCCAGCTTTGCATCCTCCAGACCGATTCCCATTGTTATTTTTCATTTTGCACTGGCAAACGACCTTATCTCTCAATTATTCGCATTCTACTGGAAAGAGATACAGAGCATGCATTTCACACAAGCTCGGATGGAGGAGCTTTCCCGTTAAACTCAGCGGCATCTCGAAGGAGCGGAGAAGTACCGGAATTGTTGTTTCAGGAAACAGTATATCAGGAGTACTCCTGCTTCGGCTCTGGCTGACCGCCGCTTATAGTGGCCTCCAGAGAAGGCCATGCCCGGGCCAGTTGAGTTGCTGGTAACTGAGCAAGCCAATGATAGCAACTTTTGGATGCCTGCAGAGGATACGAAGATATTGTAAGCTTGTTTCTTGTGGCTGGGCCTCAGTTGATATGAGCCAGTGCCTTGTTAATAGTAGGGATACAAGCCATTGTTGACTTTTTGACGGATCGACACATTGTTGTCAGCCGCTGTATTGAGTAGCCACAGCAGTATCGCGGAGCTACTGCTTGAAACAGGAAGTGGCGATGCGAATGCAAGACACTAACATAGATTCCGTTCGCATGGGCCGCAAGGAATAGGGATGAAGAGGAGTTGTACGGATTGCTACGGAATGGAGCGAATAGCGAATCCATCGCTATCCCTAGGTATTATTCTACCGGGCCAAGTTGCCTCGGTCCCGTCAAGCGTGAGGAGGGATGATCACTCTCATTACTTCTTCAGTGAAATTCCCAACCCCTTTCACAATAAAGAACCTATTTCAGCTACCCATTGTCCTTGACTTAAGAAACTTTGCCATTAAATATACTCGACTAGATCAAAATATTTACTAGGATTCTGTCAAAAGAGGTGCTCCATTTCTGAAAAGCTTCCAATCAAATGAGAAAAGCATATAAAAGCGCGGCTTGATTGCCCCTACAGCAGGGAAGTGGCAAGTCTATTGTACACACATTCCAGCCAATAATGGATCATATCCAAGAGTCGTTAGTTGGTTGGACCTCTCTGAGGGCTGTTCGGAGGAGATAAGCTCTTCGCCCCGAATAAATTGTTTGGCATGGGTCAGCAACCAAGATGCCTCCGAGTACAATTTTTGTTCAAGGCACAGCTGCGCCGCGTCCAACGATAATCGTAACAAGTGTTTCTGCATGGTTGGGTGGATTCGCGTCCCGCGACTCGCGGGTCCGTATTTCATATAAGATAAGGCTGGCTTAACATCTGGCTTGGTGGGGTGATACAATGGTAAACAAGCTCCCCAGAAGTACTTGCTATTGGAAAACTGGTCAGAGAGCATACGGAATTCATCGAACAGGGCAACAGGAACCTCCTGGACTTCGGGGGTTTTGTTGTGGCTCGAAATCCACATAGCCAAATCGGATCCTACGGTTCGTAATGACGCACGGAAAGGATCATGTTTCGAACCACTGAATTTATCACCTGGAGGTAATATTTCGCAGACACGGATATAGTACTTCAAAGCGGACTGAATGCCATGACCATACTTTATCTCGGCGGTGACAAACTCACGTAAAAGGTTTATTAGGCAGAGGCGTTGTGTGGGTAGGAGGGAATTCGCAAGGCCGTCACTCGAAGGCGCCGTATACACCATCTTCACCCATTTGATAATCGTGTTTTGAAGTCGATCAACGACCATATATGGCATGACTATGCCCATAGTAGGGCGGCTACCGAAAAAAAGCATTCTTGATTCAAAATCCGCGGCGGAGTACCATGCAACGATTCTCGATCCCACGCTAGAAGCTTCAATGACATTAGGTAGTTTTGAAGGGATCGAAGGGGCCCCATACTCTCGTAGACAACGGTAAAGGGTGTTATGGTCAGCTCGTCCGGATGCTATTAATTCGTCCAGGAGTTGTAGAGGATCCTTCGCTAATTTCTTTCCAGCATTGGGTACATTTTGAGCCTGATTACCATTATGATCTCTCTGAGGTAATGGCTTAGCAGGGACTATTCGGAAAAGCGGGTGGTCTAGGATAGAGCTCAAGTGTTTGTCGGTGTCCTTGCTAGAGGCACTCAATCTGTTGTCGGGATTATTTGGATGACGATTTGGAGTCGAGGACTGTGTCGACCGGGCCAACGGTTTGCTAGACTCATGGCCGTGGAGAAAGGACAGAAGCCGGCGAGATTCTTGAGTAGAACGGCCAAATTGGGGACATTGTTTTGATAGCGACCTTAAGCAATGTACTCTGGTAGCCTCCATCGGCCCTCATTCACCACCCGGTTCGCCCGTAATTGTGCAGTAACTGAGCACTAGTTCTCCCATTCACCGCGGATGTTTGACCCCTCCTCTCAGATTGCTGCTGAGTGAGTGATTGGCAAAGCAGTGGCAGGAACAAATAAGCGAGAGGGAACCCGACGAAGTTGGTGGAAGTTAGCCAGCAACAGGTGGCTGGACTAGTGAGATACCTCTAGGCAGTGGGTAAGCGATCGCAGTTATAATTGCAATCGCAATCGTGGTTGTGGTTGTACGTGCATCTGCTTCCTGCAGCGGTTACAGTGGTTTGGCGCCCAACCTAGCGCGAGCTCACGTAAATTCTTCCCAATTGGGACAGAACTGGACTTTGAGCCGCCCAGCCAAGAAAGCAAAGAAAGAGAGAAACGCGACATATTCTTAGCCTCCCAACCATCCTTTTGTGTCTTCAAGACCTACCCCCCCGACCGCTCCGTCATCCAAACTCTCTGTTGTTTCTCCTGGGTTTGTTCTCTTTCAAGAGATCGAGTTTTGTCCTCTTTGCTGTTTACTTTTTGCCTTTTTTGCCTTTTTTGCCTCCCGTCTTGGCCCTCGCCGCCAGCTGTCTTTTTTCCCTCGTTGTTTAAGCTCGTGAACGTTCTCAGCCTGCTCCACCCTCTCCTACCGCAATCGCCTTCTTCTTCCTTGCTCCTTTGCTGGCATCTTCATAAAAATAATCTCTCACAGTCATGTCTGAAGTTCAATTCAGGCCATCCGGCTCTCGTGGTCGGGGGTCTGCTCGTGGCGGCAGAGGTGGGTACAGCTCGAGAGGTGGACGATCCAACAAGCCAGCCAAAGCAGACTCGGAAAATATGTCTGAGCCATCGTATGAAGATGAAGGAGAAATAGGCCAACTTAAGAAAAAGCATGCCGGTAACCTTTCGACCATAAAAGAACTTTTCGCAGACTGGACCGATGAGGACCTTGTTTTTGCACTAGAGGATGCCGATGGGGATCTAGAAATTGCGATTGAGCGCATCACTGAGGGTTCGTTGGCCTATTCCCTTGTGTATTGCGACAAGCTGCTACATTGATTTTTATATACTGATAATCACCAATATTCTTTGTTTAGGCAATGTTTCGCAGTGGGGTGAGGTCAAAAAGAAGCACACTGATCGATCCCGTGTCAAGGCGAAAGAACCCCTCTCGCAGGCAGAATCTACCTCAGCACCACCAAATCGTGGAGGCCGTGGCCGTGGAGGTTTTGAAACTCGCGGACGCGCTCGGAGTGATCGTGGTCGTGGGGGACGTGGTGGTAGAGCGGGTGGACACGTAAATGGGACTCGTGCTGAAAAACCTGGGGTACATGCTATAGAAGAGTCCGAAGCTGCTGCTGCTGTGCCAGCTGACACATGGGAGAAGTCGGAAGAAACTGCAGTTGCAGACATTGCGGCTTCTACGGAACCAGGTACTACCGCTGTCGCAAACGAGCTCCAAGAACAGGCTACGCAAAAGAGCAGCCTTATCCCAGAAGGTTCGAAGAAAGGCTGGGCAAGTTTGTTTACTCAACCAGCTCCGCCTCCACCTCAGAAAAAAGCTCCTCCTCCTGCTACAGCGACCGCACCTAAGCCTACCGAACCACCCCTCCAGAAACCGTCTGAACATCCTTCAGAAGAGCCAGAAGTCGTCCGTCAAGCAACAGTCCCTCGCGCTGTGGAAACATTAACTTCCACCCCCTTACAGACAACGCATGTCCCAGTGATTCCAAAAGATGAGTTGACTCAAACAAACCTTGAGCGGGTTCCTGATGTATCGCATCCACAGACAAGCACGACAGCAGCGAACACGGTGGCAACAAGCACCCCAGAGCAACCCAGCGGTACCGGCGTCAACGCATCGCAAACCCGACACATCTCAGGCTATACTGCCACTGCGTACAAAGCTACCACTGGATCTGGACGTGCGGCAAACTTACAGCGCCGTGTTATGGAACAGCAGGAGGCCGTTGTGATGCCTGGAAACCATGCCGTTGATCGTGCTGCGGTCCAATTCGGAAGCATGGGATTGAACGGGCCAGTTGATCTTGACATTGACGAGGAGAGAGAAAAACCTGAAACTCGTGCTCAACCTCCTCAACACTCACCAGTTGCTCCCCGCGCATCCCTCCCTCCCTCCACCCAAGCTCAAACGCAAGCTCAGCCCCAGACACCGTCGCTCTTCCTCGACCCGCACCTGGCTTCCCCTGCCCTTCCGGCAGTTCTACAGATGCGCATTTACGACTTCGGCG